GGCGTGACGAATTTCTGTGTTGGCTGTCAAATGATAGTTCAGATAAATTGCGAGTATAGAGGAAGAAGGGGGGCGTTCTGTGGATTGTGATTGTTTTCATGTTCCGGATTTCCTGGTGAATGACGGAATTAATTAGTGAAAATTTCATCCGTCATTCCACACCCTCAATTATCCATTGGTGTACCTGCCAATGGCCACTCTAATCGCTATCTCTTGATTGGTGTTTCCTTAGTTTCCTCACCAGTTTGGGGAGTATCGCTCTCGAATGATCCCGACGCGTTTTTCATGCATCAGGAATTTGATTTTAATATTTCAAATATTTAATATTTCAAATTTTATTAGTATGTTATAACTTTCGGCGCCGACAAAGCTGTCTTTCACAGAGAATTATTTTTGATGGCGAGACGTGTCTCGAGAGGAATTTTTGTATATTTATTCAGGATCTTTCTAGATCGTTCGAGGCGTTTCATTTCCCGATTAGCAGCCGTTATCTTTCTCCGAAAGAGAAGAATTCGTGAAGTTCCCCGGACGTAACACCCCCCGCTTTAGACAAATGTTAGGGGTGCACAACATTTGCAGCCATAAGATAACGATTCTTCTCTTTCGGTTCTCCTCCCTTTTTGTTTGCGCTAAGAGGATCCACGTGCAACGTATCGTTGGCACGTAATTCTCGAGTTTATGTGAGGAAAAAGGAAAGACCAGGCGACCACCAAAACCCCTTCTTTATTCCCTTATTCTTCTCTGTCTTCGCTTACATGCCGTTGTATTGAATTCGCAATACTGCTTAAGGTTAAATTGTGCGCATCATTCACTCTTTTTTTTTAGAAAAGAAAATTATTTTAAGTGTTTTATGCCTAAAATTTGTTAATGCGTATTTATTTATTTTTTTAATAGAAAAGACTTATTCCTCCTTGTTGGAGAGAGTGAAGAATGCGCAAAATTTTGATGTATGCGGAGGTGCTTGGATTCGATAGAAGAATATTTAGTATTACTATTATTACTATTATTATTACTATTTATTATTACTATTTATTATTATTATTATTATTATTATTTTCATTGTTATCATCATGACTACAAATAGATCCAAAGAAATTATAAGAAGCTTGAAAGAATTAACGATAAATTTTGGCTTAATTTTATCGTATTTCTTATATAGCATTCAAGAGGAAGAAAGTGGTTTGATATAACACACACGGACAACAAAATTCTTGTCTACCTTTTTTTTTTTAAATAACGTGTTATGCTACGCGAGTACACTGGTCACGTCTCGCTTTGTTTGGAGTTAAATCTCCATGTTTTACACCACAAGATGATTTTTCTATCCCCTTTTTTGGGGGAGGAGGAGTCTTAGTACACTTGGCCAAGCTATGGCCATTAGACGTTTTAACGCACTTTACCTGCCTCAGCCGTTGCGTCTCATCTGATTATGTAGAGTTTTATATGATTTGTTATTACTAGGTAAGGTTCGCATGAGAAATTATTCGACTGAGTAATTAG